TATTTGACAGAGAGAGACAGTGAGAGAGGGAACACAAGCAGGGGGAGTGGGAGAGGGAGAAGCAGGCCTCCCGCAGAGCAGGGAGCCCGATGTGGGGCTCGATCCCAGGACCCTGGGACCATGACCTGAGCCGAAGGCAGACGCTTAACGATTGAGCCACCAATAACTCTTTTGTGTTATTGGCGCCCAATAACTCTTTTAAAGTCTTTCAGAGTTCCCATATCTGGGGCATCTTGGTTTGGCAACTGGATTTCTTTTCTCTTTTCCTTTTCTTTTCCCTTTTCCCTTGAGAGTGGGCCCCATTTTCCTTGTTCTTTGTATATTGAGTAATTTTAGATTGCATTCTGGATACTGTGATCCTATATTGTATTATGAAAGTTTTGGATTCTTTAAGTTACTCCAAAACATGTTGATACTTTTGTAGGTAATTAACTGGACTACATAAACTGCAGACTGTCTCTTCTCTGGTGGACGGCAATTCTGATCTCAGTTCATTTTTCTAAGGCTTAGCCTTAAGCCTGTTTTTAGTCTGCTTTACATATGTGTTTTGGAACTGTGTCATTAATTTTGGAAAATTCTGTCATTATTCCAAATTATTTCTTCTGTTCCTTTCTTTTTCTTCCTCTGATACTCCCATAATACATACAACTCTTAGTAATTGTCTTGCACTTCTTAGGTATTCTGTTCCATCTTTTTTTTTTTTTTTCATTCTTTTTTTTATCTCCTTGTTTTTCAGTTTGGGAAGTTTCTGGTGAAGAAAGCATGATTCTTTCCCCCCACCTGTGTCCAACCTACTGATGAATCCATCAAAGGCATTCTTCATTTCTGTTACAGACTTTATTTCTAGTATTTCCTTTTGATTTTCTTAGAGCTTCCATCTCTCAAGTTGTGTTACCCATCTGTTCTTGCATGTTCTCCATTTTTTTCCATTCAAGCCCTTAGCATATTAATCCTAGTTGTTTTAATTTCCTGGTCTGATAATTCCAATACTTGCTCTGTCTCTTTAAACTATGTCTTTTTGCCTTTTAGTATGACTCGTAATTTTCTTGTTGAAAGCTGGATGTAGGGGTGCCTAGGGGGCCCAGTTGGTTAAGGGTCTGCCTTCAGCTTAGGTCATAATCCCAGGGTCTTGGGATCGAGCCCCACATGGGGCTCCCTGATCAGCAGGGAGCGTACTTCTCCCTCTGCCTGACATTCTGCCTGCCTGTGCATGCGCATGCTCTCTCTGTTAAATAAATAAAATCTTAAAAAAAAAAAAAGCAAGCTGGATATATGTACTCGGTAAAAGGAACTGAGGTAGAAAGGCCTTTAGTGTGAAGTTTTATTTATTAGGAGTTAGGCTATGTTTACTGATTGTTGTAGCTGTAGATGTCAAGAGGCTAAAACTTTCTCTGGTGTCCTTGTTTTTATCTTCCCTGTTGTTTTTGGGTTTCCCAAAAGATTTCTTGTGAACTGAGGTCTTTCCATTGTAACCCCGTTTTATGCAGGAGCCCTAACAATGTGGTAAGGTCTGGGGGAGGGGAAGCATTCTGTAGTCCTCTATGATCAGGTGTCAGTCTTTTAGTGAGCCTGTGGTCCTGGACTGTGACTTTGACAAAGTGCTTTTCAATCCTCCCCACCTAAGACAGGAAGGCTCAGGAAAGGGGATGGAGTTGGGTATTTTTCTTTTCCCCAGGTCGGTTAGGCCCAGGTAAAAAAAAGTTTCCCTTGAAGGCAGGTTTTTGTTTAGGAGAACAGCATGCTCTGGGCATACTTCAAAATGGTGACTTTTTTCCTCACCCTGCCAAAAGCACAGGGGGATTTTTTCTTGGATCTTCACCCTGAGAACCTGGTGGGGGTTCCTGGGGTAGAACCTGTGAAATCATTGGGAGGTTCCCTAAGGCTGGGGCCCCTGCTATTTTTCACTCTCAGGCTTGCCCAGACTGAGCTTCCAGAACCACAGTCTAAGCCCTCCTACCCTGGTATTGGCTCTGTTCCTGGGCTTCTGCTCTAACAAGTCATAATTTGCTGTATTTGCCTGTCTCTCCAATTCTGGGGGCAGTGGCTTTCCCTGTGACCTCAACTCTCTGATGGCTCTAAGAAGAGTTGTTGATTTTCAGTTTGTTCATTTTTTTTTTTTTTCTCTTTTTGTGAAGACAGAATGATGACTTCCAAGCTCCTTATAGGACAGACTGGACTGGTTCGGGAGTTAGTCAGAGACATGCTGAGTTTACACACAGAATTAAGGGTTCCACTTCTCAGTATCTTTCCCCCGGGTTTTCCCCCTTTATCTGGTGGCCCTAGTTCCTCTGGCCAGAGAGAGGACTGGTTTTGCTATCAGAGGTACGTGCCTTTAGGGTAAAGCCACAGAAGAACAGAAACTCGCTATGTGTCGGACACTTGCTCCAAAGTTTGACTTCTCTCCAAAGTCTGCTTGTGCTTGTTCAGTCTCCAGAGCCTTCACGTTGTTGTTTTCTTGTGTTTTGTTGAGAATTTATAGCTGTTATTTATACAAGGATCACTTGGTTAGGAGGTTGTGCCTCCACATCATAAGTAGAACTTGACTTTCCATTGAGGGGGAAAAGAACTACAGTTGTTCTCCTGCCTTGGTTCAGGAGCTTTACATTCATGATCTCATTTCAGAATTTTTCAGAGGAGGACTCTGAGGCTCAGAGAAAATAAATAACTTGCCGAAGGTCATAAGGATATGTGTAAGTGACGAAATCTGGAGGAATTGTAGGGCTAGCAAACTTTAGACTACTCTTCTTTCGACTATATTAGCTGGCATCCTTCATGGGTAAATAACTGCTAAAAGCTAAATCTATATAATCTAAAATAAGACAGATGCCAAAGAATAATACTAGGAGACTAGTAAAATATTGTTGTAGGGATGAAAGATGCTGAGAGGACAGGGTTAAACCAATTCATCAGTCACAACTTGTTATGATTAACTTTTAGTCAAATCAAAGTCTAATAACAATACATGGGAGTAAAAGGTCAGCGAGGACAGCCTCCAACATGGAAGAGGTTGGCATAGATTGGCTTAAGAATCTCTGAAGAGAGATGAGGGCACAGAGGCATGATATCCTAAACTTCTTGACCAGGAATTTCATCTTATTCATCTGTGTATTCCCTTCAGAGCCAGGTAAAATGACAAACATACACAGTGCTTTAAAGATTTTGAAGGAATTAACAGTTTAGATACTTTTATAAACATCATTTTGAAATCTTCAATGCATTTTGTACAGAAATAATGATGTAAAATTTCTGGTACCAATAAGTGAATTTAATTAAATAGTGAATTTAATTTCTTTTCCCACACTTGCTTTATATTTCTATGACTCTAGCAGAAGTTTCTAGCATTTACTGGTAAGACTTTAGCATTGATGCCTGATGAGTTTAAAATACTGAAAACTGTAGATCATTTTGGTTCAGGCAGTAGAGGGTGCCTTATTTGATGACAGAATTCAATCCATTTTTGTCCACCACATACCTGTTTCTGTCATTAAATCTTAAATGAACAAATGGTGTAATCAAAAGCAAATTCAATGTCACTTTAGAGAATGGCCAGTACCACTGCCTAGAATATACTGGCCATAGAATAGGGTATTCATAAGCAAATCCTGAGGAGAACCACATCACCAGAATAGAAACATCCTTTTTCCTGCATCCTCACATCAGTGACAGCTGACTACTCAGAGGTGACCAGGACACCAGAAAATGTAGATCTCACTAAGACAATAGTGAGTATGGGAACACATACAAAGGCCCTCTTGGGCACAGGAATCTAAATGGTTTGGTCCCATCCTAAACTCCTGTCTCTACTGGATTAAAGTGAAAGGAAAACCTTAAAGACCTTCACAGGCCCTTCTGGGTCTGATGGGAAGGGTTATTTATCAGCTAAGGGTTGACTATTCTCTCTTCTGTCCACCAGGACAGCTATCTAGCAGACACCCGCTGGGGCCTTGTATTCTTTCATTTCAGTACCACAAGCACAAAGAGAGTGCCCTTCAGGCCACTGGGACGCACAGCGGACTGTGATCCGTCTGCCAGGAGAGTTTACGAGGGGCTCATTCTGCTTTGGTCTTTGTTCCTAGGACCCCGCAGATAAAGGTCCTTGCTCAATACTCATAAGAAAAAAAATGTTCCCTATAATCATGTATTTTTGATATATACTCATAGTTAAGCTACTGCTGTAGAACAAATCCTCCTTAAATGATGAGAATCCTGTGTACGGTAAGAAGAAAGGTGGTTACAATACCATATGTGCCAAAATAAGCTTTTTACCAAGTGAGACTTTTTATACATTAAGTATACATACAAGATTTTTATCAAGAAAAACACCTAGGATTTAAAAGTGAGGTTTCCAAAAGGATGAGAAGAGTATTATTTTGACTTTGAGATAGAGACGTCTTTAATCCTACTATTTGAATAAATCAACTTTAACTTATGCAGAAAGAGTGGTCATATTACTGAATTCTAACTCATCTTAAACACCGAAATATTATTCGAGAGGTGACGACAACATTCTGCAACTTGCAGAACAACTAGCAATCTCAATACTTCTATTTTCTTTTGTTTCACAGGGAATGGGGAATGCAGAGAGCTCAAAGACTAGAAACAGAAAGTAAGTTACAGCAACCAAATGCTTCATACAGTCTGTCTGGAGGTGACTTGTAGATTTAAATATCTAATTATACCCAGAGGAAGTATGTACCAAAGGATAAATTTAATTCAGGTTCACATTGTCTTGTTTAAAACCCTCAGGATCCTATGTGTTTCGCAAATTAAGAGCTTTTTCAGTTTAGAAAAGTAATCCTATCCCCAGCAGAGTACACACCAGCATCTTGTAGGCAAATACACTAATATTTCAGCAGTGAGAGGCATGAATATTCATACTAGTAGGATAAATAAATTCATGTCCATTCTGGCTAAGTTTTTAGATTTTGAAATTATGCATAAGCAATTGTGGCCCTGGAATAAAATTAGTATCAGATATATAAGCAAAAAAAGTTTTATACCCATGATCCTAGATAAACAGGCAGAAGAGGTTCTTTCCTTTGTTGAAGAAAGAAAATAGCCATCAGGGCAAACACATAAGGCGGCAAACCTCCTTCTTCAGGGCGATCTATACTGCAAAGCTACAAATGAGAGAAAAAAAGGATAAGCATTCTTTTGTACCAACCTATCATTTACATATTTTGTTCTAAAACCTTTTATAAAATACCACAGTGACAAAAAATAAAACTTCCATAAACTTTTGGAGCAATGACATATTGTGATGGTGTGTGGCAACTTCAATTTCAAATTTTTAATCTAATATTTGTTATTTCTTTTTTTGACATCCATAGCAAATCCACTCAACTTGGTTAAAATGCTTGTTAGTGAAATCAAAATGATGGTTCAATCCCAAGTGCAAGCCAACTGGCTCTGCTCAGTTCAATGGTCTGAACCTACATCTGAACCTACTGCCTTGAAAATTCATGCTTTGCCCAGAAAGGTGATTGGGGAAAGAATGTAGGCAAACTCATTAGCACCAACAGGAATAACAATTTTTTTTTTTAAAGATTTTATTTATTTGACAGAGAGAGAGATAGCAAAAGCAGGAACACAGCAGGCGGAGTGGGAAAAGGAGAAGCAGGCTTCCCGCGGAGCAGGGAGCCCGATGCGGGGCTCGATCCCAGGACCCTGGGATCATGACCTGAGCCAAAGGCAGACACTTAACGACTGAGCCACCCAGATGCCCAACAGGAATAACAATTTAAAAAGCATAGCCTACTTAGTGATGAAGTGGGAAGCAGCTTTCAGAGGACAGTATATTGTAATTATCAATTCACCTGGTTAAGACTGATGCAATCCTCTGCTTATCCTGGACCGGAGCAATAGGAACTATATATTGTTACTGCTGTACCTTTTTTTTTTTTAAGATTTTATTTATTTATTTGTCAGAGAGAGAGAGAGGGAGAGAGTGCATGCACGCAGGCAAGGAGAGCGGCAGGCAGAGAGAGAGGCAGGGTATCTCAATGCAGGGCTCGATCCCAGAACCCTGGGATCATGACCTGAGCCGAAGGCAGACGCTTAACCTACTGAGCCACACAGGTGCCCCTGTTACTGACATAATCAGTAAAGCTCTAGCTTTTCTCTCTAAAGTACCTACACAGAATCTCAATTTTATAATCATCATGGGACCTTAAGTTTTAAGGAAATACTAAATGCTCTAATAAATATGGAGAAATGTAAGTATGAGCAGAGAGTGGCTTCCATTTTTTGGATTCTCTGGGTACATAATTAGAAATGGTATCTCTCGGGGCGCCTGAGTGGCTCAGTCGGTTAAGCGGCTGCCTTTGGCTCAGGTCATGATGCTGGGGTCCTGGAATCGAGCCCCACATCTGGCTCCCTGCTCAGTGGAGAGCCTGCTTCTCCCTCTTCCTCTGCCTACTTGTGCTCTCTATCTCTCTGTCAAATAAATAAATAAAATCTTTAAAAAAACAAAAAAAAGAAATGGTATCTCTCCAACTTTCCTGTGCCTAAGAAGTATGCTGGGAAACCAATTAGAATGTAAATTCTTTGGGCCATATCCTATATTTGACCCACAAATTTGATTTTTAATAAGCACTATAAGTCATTTTGATCTTTTCAGCGATACTGTTACAGTGAAACAGAAACACTAAATTTTCCTTTCTGCAGATATTAAAATTTCTGTTCCGATACTCAGATGCCTACTCTCTTCATGTCTATAAATAATGCATCCAAACGTTTAAGATTAACCAAGCAAAAAATCAAAGCATACTGTTTATGCATACATAGAATGTGCTCACACATTTAAAGAACTCAAACCTACCTTTGCCCAGTATCTAAAGGCAATCACCAAAGGAACCAGCTTTGATTCAAGTTTTCCAAGGGCAGTTAAATGGTTTGTCGTCAAACAAGCATTTTCATTTCCTGCACTCACTTTACAAAGAAGACCACTGGGGGGGTGTGGGTAAGGGGTGGAGATGAGAAAGAAAAAGAGAAAGATAAAAAGCATTACACAGGTATCAATAACTAATTTGCACTGATAATAAATATCTTCAAAATGAAAATAAAAAACTCACAAAATCTTTATGGGTCATTTAGGTCATTGCATTAAGAAAAAGATAGGGCAGCTATTCTCTGAGCGAACTTTATTTTTCAGAACTAAAACTGTATTTTCATACATTAAAACTATTTCTGGGGGGAAATGAAAATTAGGAAAATACTGTAAAATGGTTCAAATGGGAGTAGGAATTCATCTTTGTAAAAAGTAAAGGAGTGTTTTCCCAAGAGTTGGAGGAATCTGCCTAATGAAGAATCATTACAGCCTACAAACCACCCATGTACTATGGTGATGGTAATGCTTCCAGATGGAGGGAAACACACATGGGGGAATTCACACTAATTGTTACTCAGCATTGCTAAAAATGCTGCTAAAAAGCATGGCAAAGTAAGGTGGCTACAGCAAGTAACCCTTTGATAAAGTTGTTTTTTACTGAAATGAAGTGGGTCAAAATGCTTCCTTCCTCCACTGTTTCAAATAATTTTATTCTTTTTAAAATAAAACACCTTCTGCTCCTGCATCAAATGCCAAAAGTATAGAGAGAATGCTAACAGTGAGCCTGTGAAATTAATCACATGAGGAGCTTGCTATTCTAGAAACTGGACATTAAGATGTAATAAAGTACATGTGCTCCTGGCAAGTTTCTATTCAATATACAAACAGCTTAAAGAAACAGAGACCTTTGCTTTTCTCTGCACACCACCACTGGCACTCTAGCGTGGAAGTCTGCATCCACATCAATAAAAGAGTCTGAGGAAAGAAGAAAAAATATTAAGTAGGTTAATTAAACCTCTGTTTAAAAGCAGAACTAGATGAAGTACAAGTTGTGACTTAATCGGTTCGGGCTTTTGAAAGAGGATTATGAAATAAAGCTCTGAGATGACTTGAAAAGGGAAACAGTATTATGTACAACAATCAAGTAATCACATTAATTTAAAACCCTTATTTTGCAAAACTCACATTTGATTAAAAATGACTACATTATTGAATCAGAATATTTAAGTGTTATGTGGATAAGGAAATTAGAAATGTGGATGGGATATATTCAAGAACAAAACTGCTGCAAAAGCTACTAAAATATCTGGGTTCATAATACATTATTGGCTGAAGTAAGAAGAAATGTCTGAATGTTTCATTCAACCCAAACAAGAATGATGGGAAAGACTAATTCATGGGATGAGACAGTTTAATGAGGCCTATGGAGAGCATAAAAAGTCATCAAGTCCTAAGCCAGATAATACTTTGGACAACTGATAACCTTAACCAGGAGCAAATATTTGGGGATTTATTAATCAGGGTTGGGTCACACCTATTTATCGTATTAAACCACAGAATGGTTTTGTTCGAATATTACCCACAGAAATAATTAAAAGACATATGACTTCCCATTTTCAACGTCTGACAAATAAGATATATCCAAATTATAGACAAAAGAAAAAAAATTAAGAGCAAAACGTGGAAAGAATTTGGCCTTACCGCTGTTCTTTAAGCATTCTTGAACAAGTAAGAGAACATCTGGCTGAGACATCTAGGAAACAAATCAATGAATACATCACTAATCCATAAGTACTGTTGTTTCACTGAGATAATACACGGTCATCTGAAGTTATCCAAACTCCTTTCCAAATTAGAAAGCACACTGCTACCCCAGTAAATAAATTAATCATTATGCCATGTGCACACATTAGTCAGAGACAGAGATGAATGCCAAATGAGGGAAAGCGACCTGTTACAAAGTTAACTCCTGATTAATGAATTCCTGAGGTAATCAGCCTCTCCGCAAATCTCCAAGACACAAAACTGTTCATATCACCTCTCACTCTAAGACTACTTCAACAGATTGCTTGCTGGTCTCCACTTCAGCCTTGCCTCTCTCCAATCCTTGCTCCGCATAGGAACCACAACCATTTAACATCATAAATCAGACCTAGGTGTGCCCCTCCTTAAAACTCTCAATAGCTTCCTACTGCCCTTAGGTCACAGTGAAACTCTTTACCAAGGCCCACAGATCCTGCATGTTGGGTCCTCAGTTCTAATCTTAAAGCTGCTTCTTTCTCTTGGTCCCTCCACCATGGCTATACAATCATCCATTCAGCTCCTCAACTAGGCCAAGCTCTGTAGGGATTTAGGGTGATTGCAAACACTGCTCCCCCTGCCTGAAACACTCACCCTTTGTCTTCCTGATTCCTTTTCATTGTTAAGAGCCTAGAGTCAATGTCATCGCTTCAAAGGGGACTTCACGACCGCTGGATCTACACATCCCCTGATCTTTTCTGTCACAGAACTCTGTTTCCCTGCATAGCCCTCATTATAATTAACCATATATATGTAATTACTTATCTCCTCCACTAGGTATGAGTTCCACAAGGGAGGAATCCTACCTGTTTTGTTCTCTGGGATCTAGGATGGTGCCTGGCACACAACATGGACTCAGTGAGTATTTGCTAAATTAATGACGACACCAAAATAACTGCTATGCTGGTAAATTACTAATAAAAATTTGAAGGTTAAAAGACGAGTAAAATCTGTTGGTCAGCTGACCACGTAGCTATAGCAGTCATGGATGGCAAGGAATGAGAGGCTGTATGACAGAACATCTGGGGGTGGTGCCCAAGAATCTTCTTTATTATTTTTAACTAGCAACCTAGGCAAAGGGGCATAACCATCTGCAAACTGGCCTGGGGAACCACCATCGGATGAACAGATGATCTACTAGAGTGCCTTCCAGAGTCAAAATTCTGACTCAATGACATCTTTTTCAATCACATTTAAACCAGAAATCAAGGCTAGGTGTGGTTCTTCAAAAGCATAAATATTTTAATAAAGTAGGCGTATAAAAGTGGAAACTTAGGAGCAAATGGAGCTTTCAGGTCACAAATGTTTCCATGTCCACACTGTTTAAAATCTGAAATCCTTCTATGACATTGGAAAGTTGACTTTACCAAGATAATTTAATCTTCTCAAGTTAACAGAACCTAAAAAGCCCCATCAGAGTCACATAGTTAGAAAACCAGCATTTGAAGTAAATATAAAAGATCTCTAGAGTAAAAGAAGTACAAAAGTCTGTACAGTATTAAAAGAAATGCTCTAAAATCGAAGGTTGGCAGAAGAGCATGGAACTGGAAATTTTAGGGGAAAAAGCTATCACTTATATTATCCTCAAGTATCTAAATATATTCGTATATAGCTCACATTTGAAAAAAAGAATTTCCATACCACTCTGAAAATTCTAACATTTTATTTTGTACTTACAATGGCTGGAAATTGAATGTCGATATTTACATCTGAATTTTTGAAACCCAATCTGCTACAGGATGACCCATATAATCTCAGAGAACAATCTGAAAAAAAAAATTAAGTCATAAATAAGGTGAAATTTCTCGAAAGTCATAACAAAACACTGCTATTTAAGAAATGGAACCATCAATTAAAACTACGCATGAAAGTAACATAGTATTCAAGTCTGGCATAAATAAACAAAAAGGAACGGTTGACTCTTTGGCTTTTGTCTTCATTTTATTTTATGTAACAGGGAAGGCTGTGTTGTCTGCAGTTTATGTTAACAGCTACTCTTTCATGCCAATTGTAAGACATGTTTAAAAAAAATTCTAAATTATTTTATATTTTGTGCAGAAAATACTATTTGCAAGGATTTTCACAATGTGAAAGCCAAAAACAGATGCCTGACTTTGTCTTATATTTATAAACCTGATAGTATACTAAAGAGTTAATGCAAACATTTCACCTTTTAGAAAACACACATGTGTAATTTACTATAAAGATCATGTTTCAGTAAAATAATCATAAAAATGACCGTCAGCATAAAGTTACTTTTCAGTATGATTATGAACCAAAAAAACCTTAACATAATATGCTCTCTTTAGGAAAACTTTTGCAAAATAATTTTAGTATCACTGATATAACTTAAAATACTAGGCAATAAGCAATTCACTCTTCAGAGGAAGATGTGTGTGTGTGTGTGTGTGTGTGTGTACTGCCTATATTTATTTATGGCATTTTCCCCCCAATGTTTTACTATTACTGTGCCAAAAAGTTATCTCCTTCCTATCAGGGGATTTTGTGGGTTTTTTTTTAGGTTTGTTAAGTCAAGTGATTTCTTTGAGTTTTAACAGTTTTCCGTGACAAAGTATATTAAATTTTATAATGGAAATCTATAGCAAAAATCATTGACATTACAAATGCCTTTCTGGGAACTTGTCTATAACACAAAGGATGAGCTATAGATATAATGAAATGAACAGATTCTTGCTCTTTATTTTTATGAAAGTATACACAAGTATGAATGATATGCTATATGAATGCTTTTTCAGTACAACAAATAGTTCTATGGGTGATATGGTGATAACCTTTGAATAGTGATTCCAATCCTAACTGTGGGTTAGAATCACTTGCGGAGCTTTCTAAAAAAAAAGTTTTCTGTGGCTCCACAGACAGAACCTGGAAAATTAATCAACAGTACACAAAATCTATTACAAAATAGGTTCAGAGCTCATTTTAGATGTTGCAATTCTTTTTAAAAGTGGTTAAACAGAACCTTTTTCGGACACAGACAACCTGAGAATGACTTGAGTATACTTTTTATTTTAATTCAAAATGTTGCATCAATTTGAATAGGTAGGAAGGTAAACAGGTAGATACACAAGAGTCCCACAGTGCCCCCATAATCTGGAACATTTAATTTAAAGTACATGTGTAAAAGGAAATTCATAATGAAGACAGGCTTAATGACAGTGCACGTAAAAGTCTTTGTTACCTTGGGGGAAAGCCAGAAGAAACAAAAACACACAAAAAATTAAGAGCTTCAGGACATGGTAACTCAATTTCTATTAGATGAAAATTACTACAGGTTGGAAAAATGCATGAGGCACTTTTAGGTAGCTAAATAGAAAAACAAATCTAGAAAATACCTGGTAACTTGTGTTGGAACACATTTTCCATGATACGTTTAATTTCTAGTCTCTGTTCCAAGTTCTCATTGTGTAAGCCAAACTCCTGTACCACTCTGTCAATGGCAATACCAATTGCATTTATCTGGGAGGGTGTAGGCGGGGGTAACGTAGTGAGCAATTCTTCCTCTTGCTTCTCCTTTTAAGATCAATATTGAGATTAAAAATGACTCACACAGTTTTTACCTTCTACCATTCCCTGAGACAACACTGTAGAATGTTCTGTAGAATATTCTGGAATATTTTTCTTAGCTCTCCCTCTCACCTTAGCTGTGTTAGTCTTCAGTTCATCAAACACTTCTTTATGCACATAAAGTGATAAAAGAAGGCAAAAATAAGGAAAAAGTGCAGGGAAAGAACATTAAAAGCAGCAATGACAAATTATTTGCTTTATTGTTACTGGCATAAGGGCATATACTGAGATCCTATCAATGACTTCACTCATCCTATACTGTTCTTAATGAAATTCACAAGACTTCCCAGCAAAACATATCTGACCAATGTATTTTGGCTAAAATAAATTCAGTAATATATGTAGTGAAGTTATTAATATCATAGCCTTAAAGAGAGGAAAGTTGCAAAGATGACAAGTAAAAAGAACTGACAATTAAACATATTTGTTTGGGTTACATTAAACTTACCTTAATGTTTTTCTTGTGCCTCTTCTCTTTGATATGCTTATGGGCAAATGCAATGGATTCAATTAAAACATCACAAAGTTTGCAGGTGTACTTAGCTGTAGGGTAGTTTCTTGGTCGCTATAATTTGAAGAGATTTAGAGAGACATATATACTTATCTTCCAAAACACAGGCAAACAAAAGTTAGCCAGAAATGATTTCCCCATCACTTTAAAAACTGCTAATATATTATTATCACTCTTTACCACTATTCTAATAGTCATTTTTTGGAAGTGATTCTATTAAATCAAATTGAGTATCACTTTTAACTCACAGTGCTTAAATGCTAATAACTGTAGTAGGATACCTAACTCATCAAAGCACATGTTCCAATTACTAGCTTAAACAAAGACAAGGATTTTAAGTAACAAATAAAAGACATTACCCTTTTTAGCCTGTCAATGAAATCTCTTTTTAATCGCTCCTCTGCCTGCTGTAAGCCCAGGAGCTCCTTCGTTGAAAGCACAGACTCGTCAATCACGGGGCCTTCCAAGTCTCCGCCCTGCTCATTTTCCTCATTTCTAGTCCTACGTGGCTTCCGAGGTCTGGACCTCTGCTTCTTGTTTTCTTAAGTTAGGGGGAAAATATTATTGGCCATATTGAGTAATACTGCTCTGACAAAAAAGGAGACCGTACATATTTATTCATACATATTAACTAAATAATGTGATTATCTGAATGACATCTGAGCACAGCAAAAGGAAAGCTCTTCCATGGATAAAACACGTGAATACTCATTGACCACCTCATCTGGATACACCAGCCCATAGAAATCCTCTTTTAGGAACACTGGAAAAGAATTTGCTTCAACCATACAATGTGATTTTATCATTTCTTCCAAGTATACTCCTGAACATACTCAGCCATAGTAAAAATTATCCTCTGAAGGCAAGTATACTTGCCTTCTGTAATTCTGTAATTATCCTACTGTAATTCTAATACACCTAATTTATTGTAATATATAATATAAATATATTGAATATATTCTAGTATACCTGTTATTCTAATGAAAACTGTTCACTTACAAAAATGAAAGGAAATGTGGATAATCTCAACAGAAGAAAGATGGACAATATGATCTCCAAAGAACTCAGAAATCAACTACATTCTTTTGTGGAATGAAAATCCATCATTTAGCTGTAAATTTAGCTTTCATGTCATTGGGCCTTCTCCCCACACGGATACAAGAAGTCCAAGCCAAAATTTTATTTACTGAGGACAACTAGTTGCTATCTTATCTTTATTTTCATTTTAGCTTCTTTGGACAGTCTGTACACTAAGCACATTTCAAAGAAAAAAGGCCATTACTTGAAATAAAAGTTTTCTACAAGTATAGACTAATTCATTTAAACTCTGTTGTTAGTTCTACAATCTTTATAACTAATAAATGAATCTGTTCCCTTTTTTAAATTTACAACTTTTCTACCTGTGAAACTGAAGATGACTGTGGGATTGATCTATAAAAAAATCATTTTAAATAGCTTTGATAATGTCTATCAAGCTCTGAAAATAAATCTATCATTAATACATGATTAAAATAAAAGCTAATTTCCCCAATTAAAATTGTGATAAATGGTTTGAATAATGTTTAAAGGGCTGATCAAAAATTAGTCTTTCAAAATATAAACCTACTGAAAAGCTCTGCATGAGGCAATTCCTATGTCAAGTTTTCAGTGGAACTCATTTCTTGTACAGCAGTTACAATGAATCCGTTGGCTGAAAAAACTTGAGTCAGAAAAGGGAGGTATAGGATCTCTAATTTGCAAAAAGCTGTTGTCAACAGCTCTAAAGGAAAAGTAGCAAGCACTGTGCTCAAAGTACCATAAGATGAATATATAATGAAATTCTATAAATAGCTTCTATAATATAAGTGGCAATTGAAAGAAATTAATTAGGACAAATAGTTTTGTTTTGCTTTTTAAATCCATCAAAATGGACCAAACAAATAAAATACTAAAAGGGAAGTAGTCATTTGCAGAGAAAAACTAGTCTACTTTTAATACTTGCTTTTAACACTCCCCTACTCCCAATTATCACCATCTTTTAAGGACTGTGCTCTCCGTCTGCATCAACTTCTGAGATAAGCACTTCTTTTAACTTAGAGGTGTGTCTGTTCTCATTTGTGTATCTTTACGAGCTCTACTCTAAATAATTACATCTAATTTCAGTGTTCATAACAAGTTTCTTACTTTGGCAAACACTCATTAGAGATTTACACCAATATGTGCAATACCCATTAGAAAAGTCCGTATTAGTTCACAAACCAGTAATTGGTATGGAACCAAATTCCTTTTCTAACTTCTCCTCTCTCAAATCACAAAGGCTTTTCACTTAACTGTATTTGCTGTCATCTTCTGGAATGACAATTTCCCTCCAAAGAGCCCGATTAACTCCTTGCTTTTTCTTTTTAAAAATTTTATTTTTAGGTAATCTCTACACCCAACGTGGGGCTCAAACTCACAACCCCGGTATCAAGGGTTGCAGGATCCAACCGAGCCAGCCAGGTGCCCCACTCCTTACTGTTTTTATACAGAGAAGTGGATGGCTGCAGAAATTCTGTCTGATGACGATGACCACGACGATGACAGCAGCTGTCATTACTGAGTATTTTTTATGTAACAGATGCAATGCAAGCACTTTATGTGCACTGCCTCATTTAATCCCTGTAGTGATCCTGTCATAGATGTTGATATTATCCCCATCGTACAGATGGGGAAAATGTTGGCCCAAGAAAATAACTTGTTCGGGGACAAATGACTAAGTGAAAGTAATGGGACTTAAAATAAACATTAAAGCATGGATGGAATTCTGAAATTCAGCCTTTTATCTAACAATATAAGAACTGCAAAGAACTTACTGAAATCCCCCCTTGTAGCATATCCATTCACATCTAGACTAGACCATAACTGACAAGACAATTATCACCTTCTGAACTGAGTTTCACAGGACTGCATGGTAAAAACAGTCAAATAAAATCTCACTGAAGGGAATCCTGAAAGACAAAGCTGGGTATTGCTAAAAAGTTCCCACAATTATGTAGAGGAAGACTACCTGGCTCATCGCAGGTGTCTTGTAACATGAATTCTCTATATACAGTATTCCAAGTCTCCCATATTTTATTTGCATATGGCCCATTATTCCATTCACAAAGTACATGTGTATATGAGTGGATATTTTCCAGCTAAGATCACTAATGGCATTGTCCCAAATACATTAAATTGGCAATCTAGGATATCTGAGGGATGAAGTACAGGGCGGTAACGTAGAACTGAAAAATAGAAAATAAGTATTAAAAAACAAAGCAACTCTTAAGATAATTTTTACTGTCTTCTCACATCATTTAATGAGACCCTTCCTTAATAAGACAGAATTCTGATTCAAGGAAAATTTCAGTCCCTTTAATGAGATCCTTTTTAGAATCCTGAGTGCAGTGCAAAGTTTATACTTCAAACTGAATTTCTCTCTACAGCAAGTAATTTCATACCAAAGCTTAATATTTTTCTTATGAAGATGTTCAAGGTCTAGAAGCTGAACGGTCCTTCATCTAGCAATTGTGAAAGCGCACACCTATTCTCCATATAGAGAGAACATGGGGGTTTGGGGATTGTCTTCAATTAAAAGGACAGCAAAAAAATGTATGTACTTCCTGTTCAAAACCACTTAAAAGTAACTTTTTTAGTTGCTTTTCAGACCAAACAAGAATACATATACAACAAATTTTTAGTCTGTTAACAGTCCCTACTAATGTCTGTCTGGTTGCAAACTTATATTCTATAAATCTGTTTTTATAATTCTACTTGAGACCAACTTTTTCTTTTAAAAAACTATTGGTAACGGCATTAAGATGTCCATGTCCTACCTGGATACAGTAATACAGAAATACTTAAATATATACACTTTTAAAAAGAAAAACACCAACCAAAAGCCGAGAAATTATCAATATGTGTTCAGTTTCCCTCTGTCAGATTGAAGGTCCAGTGAGGCTGAGTAAATGGCCAAAGCAGCACAGCACTCAATTTCAAGTTCCACTTTCTCATCCACCACCCTGCTAAAATAAATTTAACCTCACCAGGCCACAGCTGCCTGCTGTGAAAAACTGTGATTGTACCGATGTATCATGACAGAGCACTAGATCAGACAATTCCTTCAATTTCTTTCTAGCTTAAAGATTTATGCAGCCAAGATTTTCTCTCTCCTGGGATTCCTTTATTAACACCTCACTCTATTTCTGCTATTTGATATAAGGCATATTCTCTTGCTTTTCCTACCTTCACAAATATAAAACAGCACCTTTTCTCTCATTTAATACTATCATAAGACCCCCTAGAGATAACAAATGATGTTTTCTCTGTTAAATATTCTAGATGTCCAGATCACAAGTTCTAATGCCTTACCAGTAACATGCATAGATGTAAATTGGCCACTGTGAGATATCACATAAGGGCTTCTGGATACCTAGGAGAGTGCCAATGTTGCCTAGATGTATGTAAATTTAAAAAAACTTTAAAGTGCTGACCAATTTGCCACCCATTCCATATGGTCACTAAAAAAAGGCTTATAGCCGGGCACCTGGGTGGCTCAGTCAGTTAGGAGGAAGCGGCTGCGTTTGGCTCAGGTCATGATCCCAGGGTCCTGGGATCAAGTCCTGCATAGAGCTTCTAGCTCAGCGGGGAGTCTGTTTCTGTCTCTCCCCTCCCTGTGTGCTCATGCACACTCTCTTTCTCAATCTCACTCTCTCAAATAAATACATAAAATCTTAAAAAAAAAAAAAAAGGTTACAGCCAATATATTTAAAAGCCCATTTTTCCAAGCATAATTTACATTTTCAGACTAGTTTTACTTTTTCCTTCATATTTATGAGTTTATTTCATTTCAGTTATTACTGTCCATTAGATAATTTTCCTGTTTATAGAAATCATTGCTACATGGACAAAATCTATTCACCTTTTAGAAAAACGTATAATCACTTTGAGGCAATTATTAATCAAGCACAGAGGGCACTCAGAAAAGGGTTTTGGTGCTACAGAAACTAAAACGCAAAACTTTTGTCTGTAATGTGTCCCAGCCTGTTTGCCATGGTCACTTCTAAGGAAAAAAAATAAAAATCTTGGACTATCCTCTTCCGGAGATTGATGCTCTATCCAAAAGACATATAACTCTCTGTGACAGGAAATATATACAGTCTATATTGCATACTGACATTGAATACGATTTTTTTTTTTAGCTTTATATTCTGTCATTTATATTATGGACACATTCGCTATTCAAATACAAAATTACAATACATAATTTAGAAAATACATACACACCACTCAGAAAATATGATATAGTCCCCAGGGTGATAGTCGCCCTCTTCTGTAAAAGGCATCAACAGGAAATACGTTTACTGAAGTAAAATGAGCCTCATAGCAAAGTGAACTTTTAAAGTGACCAGTACATGCAATGTGTTGAAGTTGCCCAAATACCATGATTACAATTTTTAAAGTATTCACATTAAATAAGCAGGAACTATGAAAAATCGGAACGGCACTGCTGAAAATAATAAACCTCATTTGGATGAAAAAGACATTGCGACTTTGGGGCTGTAACTTGACAAGTTGGAACACATTACCAGGGCTTCCCGCTTCCATTTCTGACATGGTTTCTAGGCTTGTCAAGTCTTTATGAAGTAGTCGTCTTACAGTTCTGCAGCCTCTTCCATCTTGCCACCTATATCCATCCTCACTTTCCTGAAAGGAGTCTTTTCTTGGTCGGTTTATAACAGGAATTCTAGGTCCAGGTTTAAATTCCCTCCAACTGTCTGAATTACCAGCAAGTTCATCAGAGAGCCATCTCTTACTCTGATCTTTGTGGTTGTCATTTATCCAAGCGGGTTGACTGTAAATTGGGTTTTTAAATGCATAGGGATTGTTGGAAACAGCATATGGTCCTTTTCTGGGGGTATTCCCATAGTTCCCTGGTGTTATTTTTTTTTTTGGAGGGCCTTTTTCCATTTTACTGCTATGGCCTTTAGCATAATCATCCATTATTAAATAATCTTGTTGGGGGTGACCCCTTCTGAAATCCTCATCATCTACAGTCCCTCGGTCTTTAGCACGTTTCACAAAATAAGGTTTTGCTGCATCTCCCATGGTCTTTGACTTCAATTTTCTTACTCTGCACCTGAAAGAAGGCATTTTGGGAAATCATCAAACTATAACAAGATATCATACCAAGCATATGAAATACCACACGTTTATTGTACAGATGCTCAAAAGCCTATACAAACTCTTCTTTTCCTAATTTCCATCACATTCAAATAATCATCGCATTACACTAGAAGTTGGGAGGCTTGAATCCTGTAACATTCTTCACGAAAATTAGTACTTACTATTTAACATGAAGATTACATCTGTGACTAAGGGAAGCTCCCTACAGTCTCGAGAACTGCAGTATTAAAAAATGTTACTCATTACCAAGTTGGTTGGCTTTACCTATAAAACAAAAGCGCTTCTCCAAAAAACCAAACCAAACCCTCATTCCCAAGCCTATGTTGTTAGAAACTCCGGAAAGAGTCTTTAAAAAAAAAAAGTTGGCAATTACTTTTAAGTGTTATACAAAGTAACCGAAACTTTCTGTGAAAGTAGCTCAAATCCACTTTTCTGTCCCTTCTCCGTCCTTCAGGGAAGGGCCTCGGCTCCCCCTCACCACCACCATTCAGAACCTCGGGCTTCGGTCGCTTGGGCAGGGGACGGGCTCGCTCCCCACCAAGGCTCCCCTCGTCAAAGGGGCTAGGTTTCTGACGAAGAGACAACTCCAGCTGACCTCCCCAGTCCTCATTCTCTAACCCCAAACAAGTTTGGTTTTGTCACGGAAAGCATTTCTCCCTCTTCGACTCCCGTTTGATCGCCCCACCCTCGATCTGCCTCAGTTTCCACCCTTCGGGGCAGGAGACAGAGAAAGAAGAGGCGTCTCCGCACTCCTGGCCACGAAGCCACCTCGGGGACCAGGAAGCAGGAAGTGACCTGCCTCCTCGATGGGGTTCCGGGGTCCCCCCGGCCAGCCAGGGGGCCGGGGCCGAGTGCCTCCACCCAAGTCCCTTCTTCTCCGGCGCCGGAAGGGTCTGACACAAAGTGAAGATGCGGACTCGAACCCGAGAGCTCAGTCCCCGCCGGCCTGGGGGCTCCCAGGTCCTCGCAACTGGGGCGAGGAGGCCGGCAGGGGATGGAGCCAACGTTTCTCTCGGGCCGGGCCCGCCCTCTACTCCGGAGACCAGGGAACCCACCGGAGACCCACCCCGGAGGCTAGTCTGGGAGGGACGCGGGGAGAAGGCGCCCCACAGCACTCACCACCTCCGCCGCGGTCCCCCGCCTCTTCCTGTCCCGGCCGGGCTCCCTCTCCGTGTTTTCCTTCGGCCCCACTTCCGGCGCTCAGCGCTGTCTCATTGTGCGCGATTCGGAGCCGGCGGTGCCCCCACCCGAGCGCTCCGCCGCGCACGCCGGAAACGCGCACCGCCCGCCGCCCCGCCCCGCCCCCGCCCCGCCCCGCCCCGCCCCGCCTGCTTCCGCCGCCGCTGTCGTGCGCGCCCTCCGGGGCTCGGGACCCAGGTCGGGCGGGGGTGCTACCGCTCGGTCCCTGCTCTCCTCGCCCGGGCGGGCCTCACAGAGGCCGCCGGTCTCTACTAGGCCTTAAAAGCACCGCGGAGGCACACCTGGAACTCGCGAACAAACACCTCGGGTTCCCTTTCTTTTCTTCTTTTGACCTTCCTAGCTGTCATGTTCCAAATGCTTTGGAAAGCGTCCAACAACTAATAAAATCAGGGAGCGTTGAGAAAGTGTGACGGTTCTGCTTTCTCTGCTTTTTAAGAGCATTAAATTTAAATCCATGAGATGCCGTGGAGCATTGGTTCTTAATAATGGACACATGCGCACTGGGTATTGCCAGGTACTATTCAGAGTGCTTTACAAATATTAACCCTAATCCTCATAACAAATCCTCTAGGAAAAAATCATTATACCCGTTAAAGACGGGGAAGTAGCATTTATGGTAAAGTAAATGGCACTGCTGGAAATCAAACTTTAATATTAGAGGCAGAGTCCGTTATTAACTACTATATATACTAAGGTGATTTAAAACACATTGGTACAACTTTTTTATAATGCCTTATCTAGATGCTTTGGTTCTGAACAGACAGGAGAATCAAACCAATAATCTGTCCGACAGGCAGACAATGGCCTTTAATAGGCTCCAAAGGGAGTGTGGTGATACATGAATACATTTATTATGGGACAGTAGCGTTACCACACCCAGCTGAGTAATTCTTACACAAAAGAACTGGTTGAGGAAAAGTCTGCCTCAACTCAATCCAGAGTTCTACAGGATCAGTGGAGGATACATCTTTTTGAGTTTAAAATATTTTTTGTTTGCATTTTCTTCAGTGTGTTTGTTCCCCAATGCCTAACTCCCATTCTAAATTTGCCTTTAAGATTCATGTTGAGGGTAAATGAGCCTCTCTCAAATGAGATGTGATACTAATCAAAAGATATTGACAGATAATACAGCTCTTTTTGTCCATATAATACTACAGTGGGAATTTAAATTGATCCTTAAAACCCAGTTTTAAAAGTTTGGTTTGATTTTTCTTTGGATGTCACCGGAGGGAATACTGAGTTTCTCAGAACTTTTGTGATGATTGTTTCACGGTCTAGACATATTTCTAACAGCATGAAGCAGAAGTTTGGACTCCATCTGCTTCCAGGGATATTAACCCTGCTCCATTTGTTACATTGTATCTTCTATCTTCAACCACACTTTGACATTGTGATATATCTTGACAAGTCAAACTTTAACATACCCGATGCCACTGTTCTTGTTCTTTGTAGGGCCATGGAGTCAGAAGCTGAGGAGTTGTATTCACAGCTTTGTCAACCCATTTTTTTCCTAGTGTGTTTTACGTACTTTGTTAAGGGAATTGTGTTGGCTCCTTCAAATACGTCTGGAATCCAAGGTTGTCTCACCATCTCTGCTACTTCCACCTGCCAGTTACCACCATTGCTTCACTGTATTGTTGCGATCATCAGCTTTCACTTGTGTCCTCCTTTATCTATACACGATAGCCAGGAAAGTAATGTTAAAATCTGAGCCAGATTATGATTTCCCCCTCAAGATCCCTCAGTGGCTCCCCATTCCTGTGGAAGTAAAAGCCTAAGTCCATACAATGACTACAAAGCCCCTCCCTTTACTTCTGATCTCACCCCTAATTCCTCTGACCCCTTCATTCACTCTGCCATAGCCACACTACCTTCTTGCAGTTCCTTCATCACACCAGGAAAGCTCTTGCCTCAGGACTTAGCACTGGCTGTTCCCTTAGTCTAGAATGCTTTTCCTCTCTTTGGTGTCTGTATTGCTCACAACCTCATTTCCTTAGTATCGTCTCTCAAAGGTCATTTCTCAATAAGGCCTACTGTGACTGCCTATTTAAGTTGCTATTCACCACCCTCTCCACTGCCTTCCCAACTCCCCTCACCTCACCTATTGCTTTTTTAAGTTTTTTTTTTTTAGGTTTGCTCCACACCCAGCATGGGGCTTGAACTCACCACCCTGAGATTAAGACCTGAGCTGAGATCAAGAGTCGGATGCCTTTAAAAAAAAAAAAAAAAGAGCGACACCTGGGTGGCTCAGTTGGGTTAAGCATCTGCCTTTGGCTCAGGTCAGGATCTCAGGGCCTTGGGATGGAGTCCCGCATCGGGCTCCTTGCTCAGCAGGGAGCCTGCCTCTCCCTCTGCCTGCAGCTCATCTTGCTTGTGCTCTCTTCTCTCTCCAAATAAATAAAATCTTAAAAAAAAAAAAAAAAAAAGAGCTGGATGTTTAATCAAGTGAGCCACCCAGGTGCTTCTCTATTGCTTTTTCTTATAGCACTTACATACACGTTGTCACCTGCCTTGTCATTTAATTATTTATCATGGTTATTTGTTTCTTGTCTGTCTCCCTCTGCTAGAATGTAAGTTCGACAAAGGCAAAGATGACTGTTCTGTTTAGCAGTATGTCCTCTAGAGGCTAGACCATTGCCTGACTCATAGCAGACTCTCTAGAACTATTTATGGAATGAATGAAAGATACAGGACCAGCCTGGCTCTACAGCAAAGCTTCTTCATGAACATTTGATTCCCCTCTCTTCTTGAGGTTTATCAGTTCTCTTACAAAGGTCTGATATTACAGTGGAATTGACTATGAACTCAGAAACTTTAAAATATTCTACCCCTCCCTCACCGTCTGCCTGAAATCTTTAATATCTTCATAATGGCTTTCTTTTTCTTTTCTTTCTTTTCTTTTCTTTTTTTTCAAATTTCTCAGAAAATTATGTTAGAATACTTCTTGAGGGTGCCTGGGTGGCTCAGATGGTTAAGCGTCTGCCTTCGGCTCAGGTCATGATCCTAGGGTCCTGGGATCGAGTCCCGCATCAGGCTCCCTGCTAGGCAGGGGGCCTGCTTCTCCCTCTGCCTCTGCCTCTCTGTCTCTCTGTCTCTGTCTCTGACTTTCATGAATAAATAAATAAAACATCAAAAAAAAAAAAAAAAGAATACTTCTTGAATCAGTTAGGATGCATGCAGCTTTGAGTGTGATGCAACACCTAATTTAAACTGTAACTGGGGCACAGGCAAGTGAGAGCACCTGGCGCTGGGGTCCCAAGCAGACCAGGTTCAGCCACTGGCCGCTGACCAAATCCGAAGGCAGAGAGATGAGGGGTGGTGAAACAGGAAAGGAATTTATTTCAGTGAGGCCAGTGCTGGGAAGAAAGGAGACTAGTGTCTCAAAGACTGTTTCCAAAGTGCTGAAAATACTTCTAGGTTTATATAAGGAGAACGAGGGACAAAGGTGGGTGGGTACGTGCAGGTAGGCAGTAAAGGTGAGGTAGATCCTTGTCTTGGGGTCAATCACACAGGTCTTGCTGGCTCAGGGCACTAGTTATTGCTTGAGAGGGTAGTTTTGGTTCCCATCATGGGATGCTTCGCCCTGCAGGGTCTTTTGCCTGAGTTAAGAGATAAACTGGAAAGAATTTAATGAGGAAGTACAGACTGAGGTCAAAATGGAGGTAGTTGATGTCGTCTCTCAAAACTGGCTTACACAATGAGGATATTTATTGGCTCACAAAACTGGGAGTTCAGAGGGGTGTTGTAAGCTTCAATGTCAGCTTTTTTTTTTTTTTTAAAGATTTTATTTATTTGAGAGAGAGAGAATGAGAGACAGAGAGCACGAGAGGGAAGAGGGCAGAGGGAGAAGCAGACCCCCTGCTGAGCAGGGAGCCCGATGCGGGACTCGCTCCCGGGACTCCAGGATCATGACCTGAGCCGAAGGCAGTCGCTTAACCAACTGAGCCACCCAGGCACCCCAATGTCAGCTTTATCGAGTGGTTATACCCTTCTGTGTATATGGCCTTATCTTCACGTACAGGGGAGGGCATAACTCAGAGTGTCACAATGGCATTGGCAGCTCCTGACTTCACATCTGTCCACCACTACATCCAGAAAGAGAGAAGGTGGCCTCTGGAAGCCAGGACCAACCTTCCAAGAAACGTGCAAGCTTAAACCAATCCCTGGTAAGGGGGATGCCATAACCCTTAGACCAGTGTTTCTCTACCGGAGGACTATTGGCATTTTGGGTTGGATAGTTCTCTGTTGTGAAAGGCTGTCCTGTGCGCGGCAGGATGTTTTGCAATGTCCTTGGCCTCTACCTAGTAGATGACTTCCCCCTTGTTGTGACAATCCAAAATATCCCCAGGATGTTTTGCAATGTCCTTGGCCTCTACCTAGTAGATGACTTCCCCCTTGTTGTGACAATCCAAAATATCCCCAGGCGTTGCCAGACATCCCTGAGGTGCAATATCACCTCCAGTTGGGAACCACATTGTAGAGCCTCAGGCTCACCCTTGGAGTGAGGGGGTGGTGTCAACTTGCTTTGGGACACTCGCATTGCTTGAGGGAGGATGGGATAATGGATAAAATCTGGGTCCTGTTAGGAAAGAGAAGGGTGAGAATGGATGGCAGCCAGCAAAGTTTGTGTCACCTCTATTAAACAAATTCACCTCCAGACTTTGCAACAGACTTTGGCTTTCCTGGAAATTACCGTATGAATGGGAAAATTAAAAAATGCATTTAGAATTTTGATGTTTGATCAGAGAAGAACTTCCAGTCAGATATCAATCTTTTTAGAATATCAGAGGAGACAGATACTCCTTCCTCTGCTCCATGGAAGGCAGAGGACAGAGGAGAATTAGGGGGGACAACATTCAGGGGGCCTTTGGGGGGCTTTCTTTGTGCAGTTTTTTCGAAGACCTTCCTCCGAGTCTGGCTTAGACTGGACTTTTCTAATTTCTGTGGCTTGAGGATTGCCAAGGGCTAACAGAATCTCCTGCTTCTGCCTGCCGAAGAGTCTTAGTTGAAATTACTCCGGGACCTTAGATTTACAACCTAAGATGTGTTGCGTAAAGT